CCCTGGGTTAAAATCTAATGGAAGAGACAAAGTAAAAATAATTACAGATTTTAATAAGTGCAATGATGGAAATAACACTGATTTAAGAGAATAAATGACTGTTAGTAGAGGTTCTAAGAGAATGTAGAAAGCCTCAAGAGAATGTCACTTCGAATTTAACAAGGAGAAAAGTCTGGAAGCTACAGAATGCCAGTGTTCTTTGGGTGTATCAGAGAGAGCTGGGTTTGCACGGCAGAGTAAACTGAATCCCAAAGAGTGACGAGCCCTCTGATGAGATGGGACGTACAGATTGCTTTGTCTCAAGAAAAACGTGAGACAGGTGGCCACTATACAAGCAGGTAAGGAAAAAAAAAGCTAAAATGTTAACAGGTTTTTTAAAGGCTGCGTATGGGCTAGCCATCAGTTGGGAAGAGCTGAGAGTCTCAAATAAGGGACTTGAAACACACAGTTCTTCTCAAGGCGCTCATCAGATGCTGGGGCGGGAAGTGGGGAACTCCTGTTAGTGGCTCAGGCAGGCAGGAGGCAGGAGGCATAGGTATGAAACCCAACCCTGCCCGCTTCCCCCAGACCCTTTCCTTGAGGGATTCAAGTCTTAGGCTGCTGGCGGGGAGGAGCAACACATCACATTACCCTCAGACCCAGGGAAAAACCCTTGATTTCTGGGGGGGAAAATAAAGGCAAACCCTTCAGGCTCTGGGGCAGAAGTCGGAAATGCTCTGACAGCTACTGCTAGAGGAGGCCAAGCAAACACCCCTGACCCTGGAGCAGGGGCAGAAAACCCTGGGCCCAGGTCCTACCGGGATAACAAATAGATGTGCTACCCTGAGGGATGGGCATGGAATTCACACACAAGAATAATAGATTTCAGGCAGTTTGGCTGCCACAGGGGACGGGGCAGGAGTGTTGAGAGAGGCACCGCTCCAAGGCCCAGGCACACAGACTGCCTTAGACTGAGGCATCAGAGTCAACTGAGAAACCCTGCGCCACCACCAGCCTAGCACTAAGTAACAAGGGCCACCAGTCTGTCATGGCGGAAGTGGGCCACTTGGAGAGCAGGAACGGCGTCTTTCTTCACTGGCACGTAGTACTCCATAAATGTGTTTAGAGTGAATAAGAGAGTGATTAGAAGAATGAATCAGCAGCCCTGAGAACAAAGGGGTCAGGGGAGAAAGTTAGTTCTAAGATATTCCCGTATGATGTTCCTCAGACTTTACATAGCTACTTGGATAGTGATAGAACTAGTGAAATTGGGCTCCGTGCAAATTCTAATACTCTGCCTCACTCCCTCTTTCTTCAGGGACCTGCAATCAACTCGTAGTATTCCCTCTTTCCAGCAGGACAGGAGCTTGGTCTCTCAAGTCCCTTGAAGGCAGGGATAATGGTTAATTCTGCATTCGTGTCAGGCACCAGGCATTGTGCACGGTGTGTAATAGGTGCTCAATTAATGCGGAAGAAATGGATGCCTGTGAGGCTGAGTCAGCGGAGGCAGGGAGGCTGCTTGGAGAGGGTCTAGAAAACCTTCAAGGGAAAGGAGACTGTACCCAGGTTTCCCTGGGGAAGACCCAGGCGACCCAATCCCCCTGGACACAGACACCTCTCCCGTGGGTTCAGGCTGAGTCTGCATTGAGGGCCTTGCTGTAGACACGGGGCTGCAGTGCCTGCCATCTGCTGCTTTAGGTAACGTCATCGCTATTGGACGTGAAGCTCCTGAGCTGACGCTCTGGTAGCAGCTTGTTTCTCTCCTGTTGTAGAATAGAACATTCTTGTGTTCTTACAAGGTTGAAGCCATCTAGCATTTCCCTTAGGCCTTTGACTCACCACTTATAGGCAGGGTTGCCCTATGATTTGTGGGGCCTGGGAAACAGTGCAAATGGAAGTCCATTAGCCATATGTCTAAATAGTTAATAGCTACACATCAAGCTAAATAATTGTTAAATTATGTATGACCCTCCTATATTGACAAATACCTGTAGTTATGGCTTTTATGAGACTGCAAATTGGCTAAATGTCAAAGATGATATTCAGCCCTGGCCAGTCTGACTCGGTTGGAGTGTCATCCCATACACCCAAGGGTGGCGGGTTTGATTCCCTGTCAGGGCACATACCCAAGGTGCGTGTTTGATCCCTGGTCAGGGCACATGTGGGGGGCACCCGATCGATGTTTCTCACATCGATATTTCTCTCTCACCCTCTCTCTAAAATCAATTTTAAAAAGATGATATTCAAACACCTAAATTCAATGATCACAAAATTAAAATATAAAAATATAAGTTCAATTTAAAAATAAATGACATTATTTTTTATGTTTTCAACAGTTATTTAAAAGTATTCAAAATAATCTGCAAAAGTTAAAGGGAAGAAATCTAATTTATAATTAATTCACAAATTTTTAAAAATTAAATTTCAGGTATTTGAATAAAGTTGCATTTTTTGGGGGGGTTTGATTACATGCTTTATTTATGTATTGGTATTAGAGAGAAGAAGGGAGAGAGGGAGAGAGATTCATCAATGTGAGAGAGAAACATAGATCAGTTGCCTTCCATTCGTGCCCAACGGGATTGAACCCGTAACCTGGCCAGGGTTATTTATTTTTTAAGTTGAAATTTTCTACTTGACTCTGAAAATGTAATGAAATCTTATTAAATATTTTTATTAAAAAGCTCTTTGTGATTCTAGTGTTCAATATCTTAGAATCAGTATCATGTTTCATGTATTTTATGCCTAGACCTACATATTTACACATTAAGAGTAATATGAATTGTTCAATATTGCAGAATATTCCTCACCCTCTGTGTGAATTGCAAATACTGCATCAATCTGTGAGTACCTCTGCAATCGTCAAAGCATGTAGAGAAATGAGAAAATAGACACTTGGAACAAATGGGAAATGGTATATTGTTCTGTGAGATTCTGCTGCACCCTGCCATGTCGGTGTGGGCTGGCTTAGAGAAGCCTTCAGAGAAGGTAGCAGAGTGACACTGGCTTCCACTAGATCAGGGGTCCTCAAACTTTTTAAACAGGGGGCCAGTTCACTGTCCCTCAGACCGTTGGAGGGCCGGACTATAGTTTAAAAAAAAAGCTATGAACAAATTCCTATGCACACTGCACATATCTTATTTTGAAGTAAAAAAACAAACAAAACGGGAACAAATACAATATTTGTATTTGCATGTGGCCCGCGGGCCGTAGTTTGAGGACCTCTGCACTAGATGCTAACTGAATGCCTGCCATGTCCCAGGCTCTCCATACACTGCTATGTTTCCTTCCCTCAATAACTTACAGAGGTGGTAATTTGTGTCCCTTTTACAGATGGGAAAAACAAGGATCAGAAAGTTTACGTAACTTGCTCAGTGCCACACAACTAGCAGTAAGAGTTGGTGCTAGAGTTATAAAACCCGGGTCTTCCTAACTCCACGGTGGGTGGACTTGCCACTGTGTCCTCACATTGGAAAGATGTGTAGGAATTTACCTGAGAGGAACAAGGTGGGTAAAAAGGGCATCCAGGCAAAAGCATTTGTTACTCAAGTTCTGAGGTGTAAACTAAAATTATAGAAGCAAGGCATGTTTGAATGTCCATAAAGATGAAGTCACATAAGGATGTAAATACAACCTTTTGACTGACTTGAATGGGGTCCTGTGTAACCCCCTTTGCCTGGTTGTTTTTAAGGAATTTCCAACAGGCCCAAGTTCTTGGTGTGCACCTCAAGAAGAAATACATCCACCAAGAACCACTCCTGGTGGCTAACTGGGCACAAATTCATAACCAGAGTCTAGCAGCCATTGCCAACAGAGGCCTCTCACACAGCCTGCTTCTCAGGAAAAAGCCAGACAAGGCTGCCAGCCTCCTGCTCTATGCTCCTGCCGTCTGAACCCACCTTTATAAAGGAGTTCCTGGAATCGCCTTTCAACCAATGGGCTGAGACCTGCCCTGTCCAATCGGAACTGTGCAGCTCTGCCCTCATTTACATACTTCCTGACCAATCAGAGCAGCTCTATAACTGACCGGGACAGTTACTCTCACCAATCAGATTGTAAATCTGGGTTCCTCATTTGCATAGCAATGGACCAATTAGTAACGAGGGCGGGAACTTTATAAAAGCCAGCCTCCCTTTAGTCTTAGAGGCGTGCACTTAGAATTTCTGTCCGGGTCAGTGTCTCCTGGGTTAGCAAACTTTACCTGGGAACCGGTTCTCTTCAGGGCACCTCAGCCTGAGGACTCCTGTTGGCATTGATCGGTGGCAGCCACCTGGTGTTGACATTGGTAACATCATTTCTGCCCCGGCAGTCTCCGTGTGTCCGGGGGCGGCGGGAGACGCTAGTGGACGCTCCAGGGAACCTGTCTGTGGATTTGCTTTTTAAAGCGATTTGATCTTGAAGTTAGCTTTGCAGACATTACCCAGCGAGCAGCCTGTGAGCCCCTGTCCTGCGCTTAGGGAATCTCCGACATGTATTCATTAGCGCGGGGATCCAGTTTGAAATCGGTCAAAGGAACCAACAAACTAACATTCCTCAAATCCAAGTCCTACCCGATTTCGCCCAAATCGCACTCGGTGCATTTCCACTGGGAATTAGCGTCTTTCAACGTTTCCACAAAGCTCGTTACAGACTGAGCTTACTCCAGGTGGTCCCGCGGATTTTGAACAGATTGTAGGTGCAATCAGAACGTGGACTGGGCACAGCATGGTCATCAGTCCGAACCCACCGGCTTGGGAACGTGCGCAGGGGCCGGGCTCGCCTGTGGGTTCCCGCAGCCCCGCCCCGGGGGCACTCGGCGTCTGCTCGCTGAACCCGCGAGGCGGGGAGGGCGGCGGGAAGGCGGGGACGTGGATTGACCTGTAGCAGGCTCGGTGGCCCTCGATTCCCACTCTTTCCAGCCCCTCCCGGACGCCCTGGACCAAAACACGCTCGGTAACAGAAGGGCGGGGCGCCGGCGGGCGGCGGGCGGCGGGCGGTGGGCTGGTCGGGCGCCTGCGCCGGTGGCGGCCAGGTGGGCGGGCACCTGGGCGGGGCGCGCACCCGGAAGAGCCGAGGACCGAGCAGCGCAACAGGCGGCGGCCGAGGGGCTGCGGCCCGGAGCGGCCCGGGATGGACAAGCTGAAGAAGGTGCTCAGTGGGCAGGACGCCGAGGACCGGGGCGGCCTGGCCGAGGTGAGTGCGCCCCCCGCCCGGCCGTGGCGCAGGCTCGCGGGCGCCTGGGGTGGGGGGCCGAGGAGGGCGGCGCGGGCTGCTGGGGGTGGGAAGGAGCAGGACTTCCAGGATGTCTTGGAAAGCAGCTCTGCCCGCCCTCCCCACTATCCCATCCGGGCCGGACTCCGTGCAGACCCTGCGCCCCACTCCGCGCGCCCCACTCCGCGCGGCCCAAAGGCCTGGCCCGGGGCGCTGGGCTTTTGGCCCGGCCGCGTTCTGTTTACTAGAGGTCCTTGCGCCCCCCCTCCCCCGCCCCGCCCCCGTTCCAGAGGGGCGGGCGCTGGAGCTGAACCCAGAATCGTCTGCGGGAGGAGGCCGCCTCTCGGGGTGGTCGGCCCGGCCCTGGAGACCCGGCCTGGGGGCATTGGGGTCCGGGTGGGCCGGGCACCTGCCGGGCGGGGCTCTCCCTGCTCCGCGCGGGCAGGGCGGTGGCCGCACCTGGGGGCTCCTGGCCGCCTTCCTGCCCGGCTGAGGTTGTAGATGTGACACTCCCACCCGGCCCTGTTGTGTAACTGTCTCCACCGCGAAACCCGGGACTCCTGCGGGCCGGGACCAGCTTGCTTCTCTGCCCACGCAGTCTGCACGCGGACCCGCGGGCCCCTCGGGAGAGCTGAGCTGGGCACGCATGCCCCGGCGCTAGAGCCTCACAGACTGTGTATTTCCTCTCTCGGGTGTTTCTGCTTTTGTTGTTTTCCTTTCTGGGTAACAAAATATCATGTCTTTACTTTTTGGCGTGTATTGCATGGCCCTCAGTTTTCCCATCGCCTTCCAACGCCAAACCTATATTTGCTGTCACTTTAATCAGCGTCTCCCATGGTTTCCTCCCACGCTTCTTCCACCTGCTGATGGTACTGAGTTGTGTGTGATGCGGTACCTCCAGCCTCCGTGAAATCTCAGGACTGCACACTTCACCTTGAAGTAACACTGTAGGAATCGGGTGTTGTAGGAATTGAGATTTAACTCCCCCCCCCACCCCCCTCATTTCAAAACAGCTCCCTCCTTTTCAAGTTGTTGCCTTTATTAATTGGCCAAGGCTCAGGAGTAATTTCCTGAGTTCTTTGTTCCCGGTTTCTGGCTTCTATGAGGAACTCTCCCGGGAAACCTCAGACGGGACAGGGCAGAAGAAAACTTCGGTGGCCGACAGTCCTGCTGCTCTCCAGCTTTATGTGGACTGTCAACAGCTTTTGTGAGCAGCGGGCTTCTCCCGGGTGACCTTTTCTCTTCCCGAAGACTCTGGGGGAGGGAGTGTTGACAGTGGCATGATGCCAGTGTTATATATTTAGAAAATCATCATGAAGCAATGGACAGACCCTCGAGAGTGAGTGATGTAGTACAGATTGAAAACTAAATACTGAATTTTACCTAAAATGGTGACTGTGTTGGACACAGTGAAGGGCTTTAAGGTGGAAGCTCAGGCCTGTATTAAATCTCGTTTAAAAAAGAGTAAGTGCTTCTCTCTTGTTCCAAAATACTGCTGTCAGTTTCCTCTTTTGGAACGTAGATTCCGCTATATCATTGATCCCCCC